TGGTACATGTCTTGTCTTCTACTATTATGGTCACAGCTGACTTTGATCCCCAGCTTATTAACATTCTCAGGCCAAGTCAGCTCAAGGGCCAGTTAGGAAATCCAGGGGCCAAATAGATACCCAATCAAGAATGGTATGCAGGTGTCTGTGCCTTCTTACAATTACCCCCAGACTTCACAGCTGATTCTTTTGAGATCGAACTCGCCTGTTTTCAGGAAGAGCAGGGAGAGGAGCAGGAGAAGTTCCTCTTCTTTGGGAGCATACTGTCTGAGGTGGATGGGAGGTAAGGCTAGTTTCATTGGAATTATGTCTACATAGAGATGGTTGGCTCCAATAAGTGAGCCTACAATTTGCAGTTAAGTTGTGACTGGTTACAGAGTCCTGGTGGTAGAGCTAGTTAAGTATTGAGATGCTAACTGAAAATTCGGCTGTTTGAACCCAATAGCTGCTACATGGAAAAGACATGAGGCAGTCTACTTCCATAAAGATTAACAGTCTTGGAAATCCTGTGGATTAGTTCTACTGTTTACTATATGGTTTCCATGACTCAAAATTGATTCAACAGCAAAGGATTTAGGTGGGTTTCAGATAAGCATCAGACTGCTGACCACAGGTCAGTGATTAGGACCCACCAGATACTCCATGGAAGAAGAGAATGCTTTCTGTTCCTGCAAAGATTGACAGCCTCAGAAATCCTATGTTGTTGTTGTTGTTAAGTACCATCGAGTCGGTTCTGACCCATAGCGACCCTGTACAGGGTTTCCAAGGGTGTAAATCTTTACGGGAGTAGAAAGTCTCATCTTTCTCCCACGGAGCGGCTGGTAGTTTTGAACCGCTGACCTTAAGGTTCACAGCCCAATTCGTAACCATTACGCTACTAGAGCTCGCCAGAAACCCTATACAGGGTTGCTATGAGTCAGAACTGACTTGATGGTACTTAACAACAACCACCACCACCCAGCTAATATGGCACACTGTGAGACCTTGCTGACAATGGTGGTTATCCCCAGGTAAATTTCTATTCTTCTATCAAAATTCAGTTCCTCCTGTTACTATGCATAAGGTTATTATGAAATCATTTACCCTTTTTAAGACTGAATTTAATTTTTAAATAGGACAACTCGGAACTTCCAGTTTGGGTGAAAGCAGAGGCAGCCAAGTAGGAAAGGCTCCATGGGGGAGGGACTGAAAACCCACAGAACAACACTAGAGCTCTGTATCTACCATAAGGTCCAGGACGTCAGTTTCCCACACTCACAAGTGAAAAAAAATCACGATATAAAGGAAAATACTATGAGATAGAAATCTCTGAAGACAGGACTCCCTCTGCCTGGGCAGAGTTCAGAGGGTAGGGCTACAGCCAGACCGACACAGGGAACCAGCACTAAAAGCGATGCAGTGACATTTGCAAAAGGAGGTGCCCGGGATTCTACACATTTCTTCCTCCTACTCCCTGTCACACCTTCTTTGCCCAGCCAAGATGCCTTCAGACAGGTGGGTGCACACATGCCCCCCCAAAACAAAACAAAAAAGTCCAGCGCTGACACCACAAGTTTCCTATGGTACAGAAAAAAAGAGCTTGGTGCCCACTTATGACATCAGCCTCGGGGTCACAGCCCTAAAATTAACTTGTGCAGGACTCTTACTAAGGCCTTTATAGCAAGAAAAAAGCAGGCATGTCAGGCCTGACAGACAAACCATAGAATACTGTAAAAACCCCAACATAAAAGGATGCAACTGTCTCGAGAATTACACTGTGCACACGCAGATATCTAACTGACCTTCAGAGACAAAAATAGTGGACAATCTTTCTCCCATTACCTTCTCAATACCTATCTGCGCACCTCCATGGTGATGACAAGAGGAGGGGCCTGAGAGAGCTGACACCCCCACCCACTGCTGGAGGCTTCTACAGTGCACACATATTGCTTGTGTAGAAAGGCAACTGGAGAGTCGGCCACAGTTTTATTTTTGTTTCAAAGTAGTGGTTTTTGTCTCTGCTTTTATATTGCTTCTGCTTTTGGTCCTTTTGACCATATATTTTTCCTGGAGGTAGGAACTTTTTCTCCCTACATTACCCAGGAAGAGTCAACAATCATGGCCATATACCCAAGCTACAAGCATACCCCATAATATTCCACCATTGAGACAAGAGCCAATAACAGCTGCTGAGCATTACATGTGAAAAGGGAAAACTATCTCCTGGTCATATCCACCAGGAGACACCCAGTAAGCTTAATAACACAACAACAAACATCCATTTATGCATTAAAAAACCCACATAACTACTGGAAATGACAAACAAAAGATATGAAGCACAACAAATAATCTCAAAACATGTCCAAAAACAGAAAAGAGTAACTGAGACAAATGAGCTGGAGACAAAGAGCAGGTTTTGGATTTGCCTGAGAAAGAATTTAGAAGAATGATATGGAAACAAATTCAAATGCTCTGAAAACGGGTGGAGGAAAACAAGGAAGAAGTCAGGAAAGTACTACAAGAGCAACCAAACAAGATCTATGCAGCATTGGAAACAATTCAAAACCTGCAAAAAGAGTTCCAGATGATTAATAATAAAATATCAGAAATGGACAAAACACTGAAAGGGGAAAGGAGCAGAATAGAAGAGATGGAAGCCAGAACTAGCAAGCTGGAAGACAGATCTCTCAATACTGCCAAGATAGGAGAACAAGCAGAAAAAAAGATAAAAAAAAATCTTAAGAGAGTCTAAGATTCATGCTGGATAACATGAAGAGGAACAACTTAAGAATTA